GGTATTTTGTATGGAAGCCCAAGCAAGCTCATGCAACTAGCCAACATGAAATCTAGAGCAATTTCGAAACTGGGTACCCCATTTGGATGAAGCCTCCTAAAAGTTTTATGAAAGTGAGCTGTGCCCTTTGTCCATCAAGGCTCTGGGAACAGGAATCTTTAGTTAGGGAGGTAGGATTTACAGCTAGCAATTGAGGAAGCAAGTACAGGAAAGCAGCGGGTCAGAATGTGATACTACTAAAGTGATCAGGAGAGTGAAAACATTCACCAAGTTGTTGGGATAAAAGACACTATCTTAACACATATTTTTGAGATGTCTTTATGTAGGGACAAAAACTACAACTCCCCCAGTCCTCAGAATGTGCTGGTCTGAGGTAAACTGTTAAAAGAAATAGATTGATAAGAACCAGATGATAGTAGAAACCAAATGTAGCATCTTTGTTCCCAGAAATCCTGCTTCTTTCTCCTCAGACACTCAGCCAAGCAGAGCTGTCCACTAGCTACTCATGCAGCCCCTCCCCCAACCAACAATATTTTAAAATCCCTACATGTAAACTTTTTGAGAGAGGAGATCAGGTTTTTTTTTTTTACTTGAGCATTTCCCACCTGATCTCCATTACTCAGCCTTGTAATAAAGCTTAATTTCCCTCACCACAACTCCATGTTAGTATTTTGGCTTTACCTGCACATAAGTTGAAGAGACCCAAGCTTGGTTTGATTACAATTTTGGCATCCCCGACGGGACTTTAAGCCCCCAAATGGGTGCTTCACTTGTGGCACAAAGATTCCCTGGTCTAGCAGTGTCCTTGGAGCTGTCTTGAGTCTTGTCATATCAGGGACAACTCCAAGCATCTGGCTGCTGACCTGAGTGCCATTGATCCTTGGTGCATCTCAGCACTCAGAGTAAAAGAAATGGAAGCACTAGACCTGGTTCAGGAGATTCCTTGAGTCAGTAAAGCAGAATGTGTGTGCAGTGGCACCAAGAGTAGTTTTCCTTTAGATACTGAGTCTTGTTTTAATCGGACAATTCTTTTGGTGGGATTCTTTCCTTAATTGAGTTGGTGGGACTGAAACTCCTCAGAGACTTTTGTAGTTTGTCTGATTTGAGAATTCGTTAGTTGACTTGTGAGCTAGCCTGTGAAACTTGTTTCTTGAAAACCTATGTTATCTGGATATTTGGTTTGAAACCTTGTGAGAACTATCATTTGAAACCAGTTAATCCTATTGTTTGTGAACTAGTGAACTTGTGTCTTGTGTTAATCTGAGTCATCAGAGAACTGGCCATGGTTAACAACTTGTAATGAGTAATGAAAGCTCTATTTCAACTTGCAGACTTTTAGGATGCATTCTGCAAAATTGGGAAGCTTTTACCTATGAAATGATGAAAAATAGTTTTCTATTGCAATAGTCTGTGGCTACAATATTTACTAGATGTCAGGGAGCATTGGCCACTTAACAGGTCTCTGTTACATCATCATTGAATAGGAAATATTTTGTGAGGGGCAAGAAAATGGGGTGAGATCTCCCATGTCTAGGCTATTATGTTACTGTTTCAGAGTTAACATATCCAAGGAAAAATGCAAGTTGTGCCCTGTCTTCATATTGTTCTAAATTTATCAGTGATTTTTATTCATAAAGCTTCAGGGGTGAAGTAGAAGACTTTTGCTTGGCCTCTGCAGTTATGACACTGTAAATGGGATACCTCAGGTGCTCTGCTGTTCTGGAGGCCATAACTAAGGATGACTAGAGTTTCAAAGCCAACAAAATGGTAAACTTTTCTTACCTGTCAGGCTCTCAGTATTTCTCTGTGAAATTTGGGTGAGCTGATGGTAAAAATCATTCTTGTTTCCTAAATGTTGTGAATGATAGAAGAGGGTTTGTATGACTATTCATGTATTGGGTCGCTATTGAAATTGTGTGCACCAATGGGGATTCTGAACTGTCCCTGGCCAGAATGCATCTTTTGAATACACTATGTTCTTAAGAAACCATTTTAGAAAACTCTAGATTTATACAGCTGTCATTTAGTTAAGACAAAATTAACATAACTACCTCAAAAACTTTTGGCAAGATTGAGAAAAACTATGATCCACAAACTTATACTTGGCTAGGTCTCTGGGTAAAACTTGTTTATCTGCATGCACAGTCAGTCAAAAACTAGCAGACTGAAAACTTAAAATGTTCTTCATATAAAATAAAGCCAATAATATTGAAAACCATTTATTTTCTACAGAAAATGGTTTGATTAACAAGAAGGGATGAACCACTTTTGGATTATGAAGCTTATTTAGAAGATGTAATTACTTAGAATGACCTCATTCTTGAGTATGATGGGCCCCTAGTCCAGTATTTCTAGTATCCTTATAACAAGGGGATATTTATACACAGACCACACACTTGTATGTTAGGTAAAAATAAGGCAGAGATTAGGGTGATGCTTCTACAATACAAGGAAATCCAGAAGTAACCAGCAAGACACCAGAAGGTAGAGGAAGGACACGAAACATATCCTAGTGTCTGAATTATCAAGGTGTCCTCCTTTTGGAACTCCCATCTGAATCTAAATTTCCAGCCTTGGTGATTGATAAAATTAGGGTATTTGTATACAGACAAGACTCAAAATAAAGTTCCTAATGTGCATGACTGTTCATCTTAGGCAAAGAGGGTCAGGTGTCCTTGTTGTAAAGTAAGTCATATCTAGGAAGAACATAGAAAGATCCAGGAGTAAAGCATTGTTCACTGCCTGAGACAGGAACCAAGGTTCTTACACTAGCTGGGTTACATTGAGTCTGGTAAGTGTTATTCCCTTATAAATGACAAATACTTGGCCCATTGCCCTACAAATATTGTATAATTAAAACTTAGAATTTCCTAGGATCACATCAATAGATTTTAATAATAATTTGTTCTTTCTCTGAAGGAGAGTGACACAAGCACAGTCACAGCTTGATTTATTTAAGGTGATTTGTTCATGTTGGTGTAAGTGGATGTGCCATCAGTGATAATTCCCTGTGGTCTCATGAGATCAAAATTGCTCAGGCATTTTAATCATAATAGTTGGTAAGATTAAGGATGGTGGCTACTGTTTGGGATAATCTAAGAATGGCATTATAATAAATAAGTTCTGACCTAATGATTATAAAAAGGAAAGAAAAGAGGAAAAGCTATATTTCAAAAAGTGAAGGTGAAATGTAGACAAAACTGAGAGAATTTGTTGCTGGAAAATCCACCTGACAAGGAATATAAAAAGTTTCACAGGCTGGAAGCAAGTGTCCCCAGACAGTAATTGGAAATCACACCTAAAAGACAACAGAACACCAGTAAAGGTAATGAAACTATAAGTCAGAATAAATACATGTTTTTCTACTTTCTGCCCTTAAGTGATTAAGAAAGCAATTGTATAAAACTATATTTACAATGTATTCTTCCTTTAACATATAGAACTGTAATATATTCTCCAATAAAATTGCAAATGAAATCAGTGAGCAAAGTTGTGTATTGGGTTAAGAAAAAGACTCTAGACGGTAACTCACCTTTATAAATCAAACGAAGAGAACCACAAATGATAAATGAGAAGTTTAATACAACATAATTACTGAGTATATACTTATTCTCCTTTCTTCTCTTCAAGAGACAAAAAAATTGTATAATATAATAATTATAACAATTATGGTTCAATTTGTAATGTGTATTATAATAATACCTAAAATGGTACATAGGGAAGGATGTAGGTTATGTACGGATATAAAACTGTCTGTAGAAGGGTGTAGAGCTATATAGGGGTAATAATTCTATAACTAGAATTAAACTAGTATTAATGTAACTGATTCTGATAAGTTAAGGTGTACATGGTAAGCCAAGTATACTCACTAGGGCAATATGTTAAAAATAGTGTGAAAATTTTCATTAAAGAAAATTAAATCTACATTATAAAATATTTTCTCATTACAAAAGAAAGCAGTAAAGAGCAATCAGGGAATAAAAAATGAGAAAAATACAAAAAAGTAAAATGTCAGACAAAAATCCAACTATATCTACAATAACATTGAGTGTAAATGGATTAAATAATCCAATTAAAAGAGGAATTTTCAGACTGAATAAAAGAAAAGACCCAACTCTTCTGTCTACAGGAATAACACTTTAGATCCATAGGTTCAAATAAATTGATTGTAAAAGATTTAAATAGATATAAAAATAGAAAGCACAAGAAAAGCAGTGAACTATCAGTCAAGCAGGGTTGTGTGTACTAGGAATTGGGGAACAGAATACCAGGGCTGTTGATCTCAGAAGCTAGAAAAAGACTTTCCAAAGAGGATGTGCACAGCCTGGCTTATAAAATCAAATCCTTTAGACCAGCTGGGATTGGGTCACCAGACTGGTGGACTAGAGCTTCCTGTATGTGTTATGGTTCTGAGAAGCAGGGGAAGTCAGGTTAAATGAGGAATTTGGAGGAAGCTGTCATCATGGACTGTGAGAAAAGAAATTTTTTGGTCATTTAAAAGACCCCCAGATGCCTATAGCCATTCATTAGGGAAGACAGAAAACTAAACAAACAGGTGCAGAATACGGACTGTAAGTCATATTCCTGCTTAGGTGACAGAAAAATGGTCCTATCCTGCACCTGAAAGTGACTCAAGAAAACCTTGCCATCTTCAAAGCAGAATAAAGGCAAAAATATTGGTGCAAGACAAACTGAATTTACAAATATAAAATAGGGGAAAAAACAGGCTGAAAGTAGCAGGTGATAAAAATTTAGTTGAAATCTATGACTACATAGTGGATAAATATTTTTATCAAATATTTCTTCATGGACCAAGGAAGAAAGAATAAAAACTTGATTTAACATAGTAGTATAATTTATTACATTTAGTAAGAAGAAAAACCATATACTTTTAACACTTAACTGTATACTTTTAACCCATTATGGACTTTTATAAAATTTTATGCCAGTGGGATAGGAAAAGACTTCTTTACCTTTTCATGAAAATGTCCTAAGAAATGCTTACATGTGTTTCATGGACATGAGTTTTTTTTCATATGTCCAGACCATTGATAACTTATTTGGGAGGAACTAAGAAGGTCACGGTAGATGTTTGTGGTGAGTTGTAATCACCAACAGGAACACATGAAGAGAGTTAGGTCAGGAAAAACACTTTGAGCTCAAACTATATTTCAAAACTGATAACAAAAAGTGGAAACTTCAGAAGTGAGTTCTGAGGGAATTAGTGTATATCAGAACACACTTCTGTCCAGACAGCCTGATGAGATGCACGCTGCAGAGAAAGCCAGTGCCTGTAATATGACTGGCAGATATCAGACTGAGAGCACCTTAGTCAGCATCCCAGGATTTAAACTGGGCAGCAGCCGTGTGAGTGTAGTGCACAAAGAAAGCTTTTCAACACAGAGCAAATATTAACACATAAGAGGGTTCATATGGAGGAGACTTTCTGTGAATATAATGAACATGGGAAAGTCTGTAATAAGTCAACTCTCATTGCCAAAGAGATAACTCAGGTACAGAGGAAAACGTTTCTACGTGATGTATGTGGAAAAACATTCTATCAAAAGTCCAAACTCACTAAACATCAGAAAATACACACAGCACAGGGAACTTATAAATGTAGTGAATGTGAGAAATCCTTTATTTTAAAAAGCATACCTTGCAAAACATCACAGAGTACACATAGGGGAGAGACACTGAATGTGAGAAATTCAGAAGTCAGGTCTTACTAGACATTAGAGAATCCACACAGGATTAAAACCGTCTGGATGTAATAAATGTGGAAAAACCTTCTATGACAACTCATCCCTCAGTGGATGTCAGAGAACTCACACAGGAGAGAAAATATGAGTGTAAAGAATATAGGAAAACTCTACCAGAAGTCAAGTGTTACTGCATATCAGCAGTCACACAGGTGAGAAATCATATGAATGTAGAGAATGTACAAAAACTTTCTGCTATAAGTCACACCTCACTGAACATCATAGAACTCACACAGCAGAAAAGCCCTATGAAAGTAATGAGTTTGGAGAAACTTTCCACTAGGAGCACACCTCAGGACATATGAGAGAACTCATACAGGAAAGAAATCTTGATTGTACAGCTGTCCCTAAGCATTCAAAGGGGATTGGTTACGAGACCATCTGTGGGCACTAAATTTTGATAATGCTAATGTCTGTTGCACTCTCTTTGTTACCTCTCTCCCTTGGGTGATGGAGATGGAGACACAAAGTGTTACTTAAAGCCCATTTCTTCTGAGCAGTGAGACACCCTGAAGGGGCTAATTTCCTGGATTGCTCGAGAGAGGCATTCCTCCTCAGGAAATTAATACCAGACTGGGGTTCTGCCTCAGTATTTTTATTCTCCAGGCCAGAAAGTTACAGAAAAGGAATATAGGTGGAGTTTTGGCTAAGTATAGTTTAACAATAGAGGCTGGTAACATCAGTGAAATAACAAAGTGACATTCCGTAGTGCAGTTTGCAAAAGATTAAGTTGATCCACCAACAAAAGCTTGTTGTTAGCAAATACCGTCTTTTCCTACAGCAGTTTCCTGAGTATTTTTACATAACAATAAAGCAACTTTCTTAACATATCAATCAGTAGGTCCTCGAGCCAGCAATTTTGCTGTGTTACAATTCTTTATCTACAACAGAGACTTTAGCCTGGGGAAAATTTACTGTCTTTTGCCAGCTTAACATTTCCATATGTAATTTTTAAAAGTTAGGCTAAACCTGAAACCACAGGGCTTTGGAGACTAGGCCCTGTGAAATACGTTTGCTTTATAAATGTTAGTATACTCCACGTATGTCCCCTATATAAAATGGTGTGGTATTTTGTGTAACCTATATCTATCCTCCTGTATACTTTAAATCATCTCTAGATTATTTAAAACACCTAATATCAGGTCAAACCTATGTAAATAGTTCTTATACTGTGGAGGGAGGTTATTTGTATTATTTTTATTATATTTTTTGTTTTTTAGATTTTTTAATATTTTTGATCTTCAGTTGGTTGAATCCATGGATGCAAAACTCACAAATATGGAAGGCTGACTTAATGAATGTAGAAACATCATTTTGCTGTAGTCACACCTCAGTAGGCATAGGAAAACTCAGATGGGAGAAGTCTTGAAAGGCTGAGACTGTATGTTCCTCAAAACCAGTCTCTCTCCTCTTGGACACACAGCATGCCTTCTCAGCCTCCCATTATTGTGTGGTGGACCATGTAACAGACCTCTGTCCAGGGGAATATGGACGCAAGTGACGAACATTACTTCCAGGCCTGCCAACATAAATATGTCCATGCAGCCCTCTCTGATTTCTCATGCCCTCTGGGACTGAAGTGAAAATGACCCCTAGGGATGCCTTGGGAGCCTTAAGTGGGGGAAGGCCTCTGTTGTATAAGAAAGAAAGAATTGATTGGAGAGAGGAAAGATCTTTTTTCAACTCTATCACAAAACCCTCCATTTGTACATTACATGAGCGAAGAACACATACTTACTCTTGAGACATCGTATGTGTGGTCTATTAGCTGTATAACACAAACAGCCCACTGTAGCTAATTCACTTTATGAAATTTCTCAGAGAAATTACCAGTTCTCTTACATCAGAAAATTCTCACAGGAGATAAACCTGTGTGTTTTCTTTTATCTCCATGTCCGTTTAGCAAAGAATCAGTATAATCATGGAAATAAGCAACACAGCAAATAGGGAATGTCGTATCAGGGGGCGACATCTCATCGGACACAGAATAAAATAACTCTTTACTGATATCTTTAATGTGTCAAATATTCAACAAAATGTCCAACTTTATTATACATCAGAGATTTTCGTATAAAGAGGGAACAATGAAATGTGAATGTAAATTTTCAGAGAAAAGCTAAACGTAGTCTCAAAAGTATTGTTAAAATACTTGGCTATATATCAGTAGTTAAATATAACTGGTGAAATTGCCTGCCAGGGAACATTTGCCTACATCGGAAGGCACTTTACTTTCATAACTGGAGGGTGGGAGGTGCTGCTCCATCGAGTGAGTAGAGGCCGAGGATGCTGCTGAGCAGCCAGCAGTGCACAGAACAGCCCCTGAACTATGCAGGGCTTCTGCATCTGGGTATATTATGTTAGGAATTTTCCCTAATGGAACTCAGCATGAACGTGGGTAGGGAATATGTGAACTTAGCATAGTAATTGTTTTGACTTTCATTAGGGGTTTCCACATTAAATGCAAATCTGGCCTCTTTATATCTTCTACAGTTATTTAGAGACTTATCCTGATTGAGCTTTTCATAATTAACTGAGACTAGTCTTTACTAATCCTTTTGAGGTGAACATGTGACCTATCTCTGTCCAGTGCCATACTAAAGGGTTCTGAGGCATGTGTGGAAAAGTTACCTCAAAGGCAAATAAAGACATGGAAAAAATAGCTCTTCAGCAGGACACTGATCTTATGGACATTTCCCCTGGTTGCATTTTGCAGCCTCAGGTGTGGGTCCTGAGAGTGGCAGGGCGGAACAGTGGGGAACCAGTGTGAATGGGGATGTGAATGCCACTGAATGGGCAGCCCAGGATGTGCTCTGGGGACATTTATGTCTCTAGTAGGCTTCTATTTTTGTATGAGAGATAGCTACCAACTTGTCAGCTCAAAACAACACACATTTTACTATTGCAGTTTCTGTGGGTGAGGACTCTGAGCACAGCTTAGCCAGATCCTGTTTGGGGATCTCAGAAGTCTGCAATCAACACGTCACTGTGGCTGCATTCTCATTCGGAGGCTCGAATAGGAAACAGTTTGTTTCCAAGTTCATTCAGGTTTAGACAGAATTTGTTTCCTTGAGGACATATGATTGAGGGCCCAGTGTCTTAGTGACTGTTGACTGGAGGTTTCCCACAGCTCCCTGCTGCTTCGTAGCTAGGCGGGGCACACAGAGCTGCTTGCTTCTTCAGTGCTACTGAGGCAGGATTTTACTGCACTCTGCAGGATAGCTTTAAATAACAGTGCAATAATGGGAGAGACATTCCTTCACTTTTGCCATTGCCTTGATAAGAGCCAGGTGATAGACCCCATCTACACTCCCGGGCAGAGGGTTGCATAGGTATGACTCAGAGGTCACATTTGGATGTGTCTGTCACATGTAATCATAAACCATTATTTTAGGGCAGTAAAGTTATGTTTCTCTTCCCTAAAGTAGAAGACATCCTGAAGTACAGAGGTAATTTGTACAATTTTTTACTTCAGAAATATTGCATAGTGCAATTATGGGGTAGAATTACTATTTATCAGAAATAGCTTCCAAGTCAGTTATTAGTGCATCCTGGATAACTTCAAGCACTAGAAATAGTTATTTACTATTTTATTGTTTGCAGGAAAGGTGCTTTATATTGATAAGCTATCATATGAATAAAACATTTTTCTTGAAACAGCATAGCATCAAGTATTTCTATCCTTTTTAACTGCTGAAAATGAATATTGTTGAAATTGAATTCTTTGTTACCTCTTGCTGGCATTTCTTGACTAGATTTGATGGTGATGGGGGATGTAACTTTAGCCTTTTCTGGTGTCACTTCTAAGACTATGATTTATGTTTAATTTACACCTAACCTATTGTGTAGATCTCCTCAGCCTAACATAACATAATATCAGTGTGGATGACTTAAACAAGACATTTATTTGCTCACTATTCTAGAGGCTTAAAGTACAAGATCAAGGTGTTGACAGTTTTGTTTCTGATGAGACCTCTCTGCTCGGCCTGCAGAACGACACCACCTTGCTGTGTCATCATGTAACCTTTCTGCTGTACTCATACAAAGAGACAGGGACAGAGAGTACAGGTTTCTCTTCCTCTTGTAAGGACAGCAGTCCTGTAGGATTAGGGGCCCACCTCATGATGTTATTCAGCTTTAAGTGCCTTTTTAAAATTTCTGTCTCTAAATAAAGTCACATTGGGGGTTAGGGCTTTAACATAGGCATTTTGGGAGCACACATTTGGTGTGTAACACCTGCTGAATTGAAATACAAAGTTTACATTTACCAAATTATTATTTGTAGTGGCTGTTGTGTTTGCCTGCCCCAAATTCCTTCCCCACATTATTCCACTAACAGGCCAGCTGTGTGATCACAGTGATGTCACATGACACAGATGTGCCAGCTGTAATGCTGCATATCCAGCCGTGTAGAGTGAGTGCTTTTTCCAGGGTAAGGAGTGAGTTTCTCATAACCTGTGTAATTGTGGTGACCACAGACCTGTGTGTCTTTGGTTCTGGAGCTGCCCACACTCTCAGGAGTCTGTTTGATAGGGTGGAGAGAGGCTGAGACCAGAGTGTCCTGGTGGCCTAAAGTCCATGCAGTCTGGACAACCCTGAGGCCCTCACTTGTACCGCTTCCTGTGATTGATAATTGGAGCATTCTCTCACTCTCTCTCTCTTTTTTTTTATCTTGCTTGTACTCTATCAAGGTGGGTTACTTTTATTTGTAACTGAGTCCTAACTTGACTGAGCTTATATGGTCTGTGTATAACCTGTGTTTGATTTCACAGAACTATTTGCAGATACTTCTGTATAAATATGACAACGTCTAAACTTATCAAAACTTTATACCCCTTTGACATATTGTAGAATAGATCTTTTCTTTTTTTTAATTATCACCTTTCTGAATGATTCTTAGTTTTCTTTTAAATCTGTGTCAACTTCCTTTTCACATCCACAAAGCTGCTTCTGAATTCTGATTGGATTTGCCTTCAGCTTAGATCTCAGTGGGTATCCCCTTGGGGTGGGATACTTTACCCCAATAGCATGAAACATTTCTAGGAGACCAGGCTACAAATTCAGTGGTGGGGGTTCAATGTAATGTTTAGATACCTGTATACATTGTAGAGTGATTGTCAGGGTAATTAACATATCCATCACCTCACTTATTTCTTTGTGGTGAGAATATTTTAAATCCACATTTTTAGCAACTTTGAAATATTCAATACAGTACTATTAACTCTATTCACCAGGTTGGGCAATAGATCACCAGAACTGATTCCTCCTGGCTAACTAAAACTTTGT